ACAAATTAGGATGAACATTTACAGGGGTTCTTATATTATTATTATTTATCATTATTATTATATGCCTAATTTTTATAAAAGCAACTTTGATCTTCAAATAATACTGATATTTACCAGAAGATTTTACGTCATATTTAATCATCATCAATGCAACCGTTCACTGGATCAGGACTAGATTGTGCAGGAATTTCGGCTGCATTTTTGGCTTTTAATTAAAGACTTGCACTTTTATATCGGATTTTGCTTTTAGAAAAGCTCTTTCTGGCTGGAAGTAATAAGTTCTTTTTAGGATTTCATACCTGAAGCGACCAATGCTTTCGTAGTTCCGATGTTTATACTAGAAATCAATTTGGTAAAACTTTCTGGCCTTGGGATATTTTTCAAAATACCATAGAAAAAAAAGTATCTGTCGTCAACTCCGCTATTATCTTTAGGAAATTATTAATGCTACAGCTGGAGCAGCAACGTAGAGAAGTAAATATTAGGAAGGAAGTCAGACAAGGATGCACACTGCCACTGCTACTTTTTAATCTATACATCGAAGACGCGATCAACATCATTAAAGACAGTACAACTGTAGGGATAGATATACAGGGACAAAGATTAGGATGCTTAGATTTGCAGATGGTATAGCAGTATTAGCATCTAGTAAGGAGGAGTTAGAGATAGCTTTAAATAAAATGGAAGCGGTACTAACAGATCAATACTATTTGAAAATAAATAAAAGTAAAACTAAAATACTAGTATGCAAGGGAAGAAAAAGTAGGGAAAGAGCGAATATAAAGATAGGAGACGAAAGATTAGAAGAAGTGGCTGATTTAGGAAGTCAAATAAGTCAGGACCGAAGGAGTAGTAGGGATATAAAGCAGAGGTTAGCGAAGGATCGACTCGCTTTCAATAAAAAGAAGTCACTTCTATGATCGCGAACGGTTAATTCTAAATTCAAAAAAGATTGTTAAAGGCGAAAAATTTAGAAGGTTAGAAGTGTTCGAAATGTGGTGTTAGAGGCGATTGTTGAGGATACCATGGACAGAGAAGGTTAGAAATGAAGAGAAAAAATAGGAGAATAGAGAGGTGTGTATGGAAATCAATAAAAAATAGGCGAAATAGATTAGTAGGACACCTTGTCAGGCATGAAGGACTAATCAGAGATATATTAGTGGTAGAAAAGAATAGTTAAGAATGTGGGCTGTTCTAGTTTTAGGAAAATACGAAGATTAGCTCATTAGTAATGAGTGGAGGGGCGTGTCCAACCAGTCTGAGGACTGACAACCTTATAATGATGAAGCATGAAAGTTCCTTCCTTCAGTTGTTATCAAAAATGAAAATGGTTATCGTGAATGTCAAAACACAGCCTCGACGTTAACATGGTCCCAATCTATTAGAGATTAGCCAACGGGAGTTTCCTTAGCCCACGGTCCAATTATTAAGCATCCATTTACTGCACTAATTATTCATAGTTCCTGCATTCAGTTGCTCATAAATAATTTATCCGTTCACTTGCGTCTCTTTCACCCAATTCGCCCACTAGTAGTAGTATAATATTGATGTGACTCGCTTGCTGTTCCAAGCATCTAAATCGCCCCCATCGTTTAGATAACAGCTCTAACCAATACAATACATATAAGTAACGCATAAACGCCTGGATGAATTTTATCTAAATTTCATTTGCGTTCAATTTTTTAATAGCCACACGGTCTTTCTATTCCAGAGCGTTCGTTCGAGCGTGGTAAAGATTCTATACGACACTTTACATTTACAAGACACCCATTCAAGAACCAAACAGGTAGCAAAAGTACTCTAGTCCATGTGGGCGACGGAAGCGGTGTATATATTACATTACATGACGTCTTAGAAAAATCAATTTAAGTCGTTTATCTGTTACCTTGAAGAACAAAAGAGATCTGTTTCTTTAACGTTTAAGTATTTACTTCTTATATGTGTGTGTAGAAAGAGCAGCAGTTTAAAGAGACACAACCCGGTTGGTCTTCCAACTTGAGAAACTTACCCGCACACATACCTACCTATATGGTCGCGATAATATAGATTCACGTTTATTGATTTATAACCGAACAACTACAAACAACAAATCACTGAAGATGAACGCCGCGCGCCGCAACGTAACAGCAATGTCCAGATGATAAAACCAAATAAAGAGCTGGGATGTTTTGTACATTATGTTCCATGAATAATACATGTGTTTGTGCAAGCTTGCGTGTCGTCTAACTGAATAATATGTTTCTTGGAATTTTTTTTAAACCAGGAAACTAGAAAACTTGTATTGAACCTTTTGGCGCGTCTGTAAATCCACGATGCCGTGCCGTAGGCAGATCTCGTCGAGGACTACGTTCAGTCTTACTTCATTCAATTGGGAACATGTTTGGGAAAATGCTATGTTTCTTGTCTATGTTAAACGACACTATTTCCTAAATGTAAAATGGACGAAATACTCTTTTGCTGCTGGATATATAAAAAGAAATTTAATCTGTTGTTGTTTTCTTATAAACTACAGCGAAATATCTAAGTATCTACATGGACACATGGAAATTTAAAGAAATAGAAGCTAGTTTGATAAAAAAAGGTAGTTATTTAGTAAGAGTAACAAAGATGCAACGATAATGTTGGTGTCCCACAAGGTTCCACTGTAGGACCTTCGTTATCTGCATTTACATGTGTAGTTAACTTGATAATTTTGAATGCAGCGCAAAAACCAATTGTTATACACTTTTTCAAGTGGAAATTTAAAAACATTTACAACATACTTTTAGAATGAAGAACATTACCTATTTATCTCAAAACGATTCCAAGTTTTTGCTAAAATTGACACATATTATACAAATTAAACTACATTCAAAAAATTGTGAATTAAAAGTGTTAAAAGTAGGTGCCTAGTTTACTTTATATTCTGATTTTTTTTTGTTAACGTGGTGTTAATGATACAGGTAACATTTCGTTCACTCATGTTTGCTGTAATTTAATGGTGACATATAATGTTTAAACGAGTCTTATTGGAACTTAAACGGATGAAGACGAGATCCTATTCCGTTTCGAGATACCTAAAAAATAAAAATAAAAATCCGAAAAACATGTCACTGTAACCGTTACTGTATATATCACATTACTTCTTGTTCACATCTCATATAGGTGCATGAAAACAAAAACAAATAAACAAAGAAAGTGTCAAATCAGGTAGATAAAAGTTACTATATTGATTGGATGATTTTAGGGTTGTGACCCTTAACAAGAAAAATGGAACCCCTTTCAGTTCTCTCACAACTTTTCTTATTGGCTAATTTAAAACTACAACAGTTTTCTTCATTTAATATAGGGATACACCGGGAAATAGCTTGGTATCGCATCATTATCCGATCAGTACCCTGACAGAACGTTAAAATAGTGACGGGTAGCACATCAGAACCGGGTTCTCTCTAGTTGCATGGTTCTTAACAAAATCACAAAATAAATAAAGTATAGCTATGTGTTCATTAGTAGTTCATTAGTTAGTATTCAAAGTATTGTAAAAGAAAATTAAATAATTCCAATACGGTACAGAATCTTCGACGTCCACTTGCCCAGAATTTATTGGTCAATAAAGTAATTTATAACTTCATCATCATCATCTTCAAAGTAGGATCGTCAGTCTTAAGATTGGTTGGACACTCACCTCTACTCATTCCTATCCAGAGCTAATCCTCGTATCTCCCTAAAAAACTAGAACATCCCACATCCTTATTTGCGAGCAGTAATCTAATCCAGGACTACCTCTAAACCTGTTAACTCCTGTTTTGATTCTAATATGTCTCTGACTAGGCTACGAAGGTGTCCTACACCAACCTATATCGCCTATTTCTTATTGACTTCCATAACGCCTTCTATCCTACTCTTTCTAATTCCTCCTCAGTTCTATAACCATCTCTTATAACGTATGTGTTGAATTAAATGGATAGGTTTGTATAATTTAAGAAAATGTTTGCACTGTTAAATTTTATTGTTCAATAGTAATTGATAGGAGATTCAGGAACCCCGAAAGTAATAAAACTGCAAGCGGTGACCATTTATTTCAAATCTCGACTTTAAATAGGTATAAACCTCTCCGAGCATGCATTTCGACAAAAGCAAATCGAGAAATTTTCAATGGTAGACGACCCGGAGGCTCTCGTCATAAATACCGAACAACTTTTCTTAGTACATACAGTGGAACTTTTCGGTCCAAAGCTGCAGCAACAAAAGATTCTATTGAATGAGAAAAAGAACGTACGGATAGGTCCAAATGTCAAAAGCAAACCTGCTACTTAAATTGATTACATTGCAGGTAAAAATTTCAGTTTTAATTTTATCCAACGTATCTCTAAACTAAAGAAAAATTATCAAAAGAAGCTCCAGGAATAATTCTTTGAAAGTTTTATGAAGGAATTTAATCGCTACAAAAGGAATTTAGTATTATTAAGGCAGAATTTTGAGAATGTATTAAAGTTTATTATTCTGTAAAACTATAGGAATTTATAATGCCCGGAAGATCCAAACGAATTGCCGTCTTCTATCTGTTTATATTACAACTTATAAATCTCATTAAACAGAGGCAAATAAAACGTTGAAATTCCTTATCGTAAATGTCTATTATTTCAAATAACTTCGTGTCGCGGCGGTACGGACATTTTCGTTCTTATCAGGAACAATAGAGTTCCTTAATAAAAAGTTAATTTAGGGTACGGTACATCGGTGTGGAAATCTAAATCCATTTTAAAATGAAGACCAGCCATAGAAGCTATCATAAAGTCTCATCTTAAATAAACGTTGCAAATTATTATGTTCTGCGCGAAATCGATCGTAAGTTCATTAGGAGGACCGCAGCAATGTCGTCGTCAACCGAGAGACTCTTCGTGGAAGGTCTCTTAATTACATCGCAATTACCCATTAATCAAGCTCAGCGCTGCTGCTGTTACCTGTCTGCATCCCACCGCGGTTTTTCGCTAATATACTACCACCGTATACCGACTTACCTTTGCATTCGTTGGCATCTTTCGTGGTGGCTCTACCCCAAGGCCTGTCGAAATGGAAAGGTTTGCATCTCTCGCACTCCCTACCGGCGGTGTTATGCTTGCAGTCGCAGGTCAGCAAACCATCGCGACCTGTGATGCAACGGCTTGCATGTCCATTGCACTTGCATCGACCCCCGACCGAAAAATCGCTCACGGCGTATTGATGCGTCACCCTGTGATTAAAATTATTCACGACAACCCCGTTGCTTGTCAAATCCACTGCGGTAGGTGGAGGTTTGGGTTCCTCCGAATCGATCACTTGCATCTCGTTCAAAAGCTGTACGGAAGGACCTTTAGTCTGATTATCCTCGTCTTCTTCTTCAAAATGCTTATAATCCTTGTCCTCTTCCTCCTCGTCGATCCGCTTGTAGCCTTGATCGATAAGGACGTCCAGACTGTCGGAAGGATCTTCAGCTGGCATGTGAAGACGATTAAAAACTACTTTGATATCGGTAGCCGTGATCCAGTCCTGGAGAACTGGCGAATTGTCGAAGTCAGAAGCACTTGGACGTCCTTCTAAAGTGCTGAATGCGATTCTTGACATATGACCTAAACTCAAACCGTCTCCTCCGGTGTATCTATGGGCGTCGGTACATCTGGCCTCCTGTTCGTTTGCTCTGGTTATAGTTGCACGATTGGGTCTTCCGTAAACTCTTCTACACTGGCTGGAGTAGAATTGGAACGGCTGCCATGTCTTTCCGTAATCGTTACTCTTATAGATCGCTATAGAATCAGGTTTCGGGGTATTCGGGCAGAACTGTAAACTCACGTATGTTAATTCGTACTTCTTCCCCAAGCTCAGGGTAAGGGTCACATTGTCCGGTGGTGCGTGAGCACTCGTAGGGGGTTGCAGAGGTTCCGATCTCCAGCAGGTAACGTTATTGGGATTGTTCAGGTCTGTCAGGTAACTTGCTGGGAATCTTTTCTTTGGATTGTGATCGTCGCAGATGTTACATTGGATCTGAGCGTTTGGCTCGGGAGCTTCGCAATACTGCCAGGGTCCCTTGAGACCGCAAGTGGACGACGCTGTAACCGGAATACCGAATGCCGCATTTACGAAATCGGGAATGCACCTTCTCGGGCGATCGTCGTCGTAGCACGGGTCCAGCGGGGGTTGCATCCCCGAGAGCATCTTGAGAAAGTTGTCGCTCACCGCAGCGGCGTAAGAATTTGTCACGAGAAGCAAAAGCCAAAAGGACGACATCGTCGCCGTCACGAACACCTTTGTTAGGCAAATTATATTCAAATCGTATTCGGCGACATTTCACGCACGAACCTTCACTTTTTTCTCAACTGTCGCAACTTTTACAAACTCACCACCAAATCCACTGCAAACAAGAGAAACTCATATCTTTTATTTGAAATTGCAGTAAGAAAAGTTGGAGCGAAAATTTTCGCACTTTTTCCTGTTGTGAAAAAAACTTCTTCGTTCGTTTCGACCGTAGGTTCGCTAAAGAAGAGTTTTGTTTCGTTCGCGCGAAGTTGTACGGAATTGTTGCGCAGACGTGCGACCGTTCGCGACCAGGACACAAGACTGGCGGGCCGCAGTCTGGCCTGCTGGTGCGTCTATCTCCCGAAGAGCACCGCCCCTCTCACGAGGAACACCCCGCGAACTGGGTATCATCATCATCATCATCTTCTAAGCGGTGTAAATATATGCGCTACGATAATTGGTCGTCAACTTAATTGCGACAAATTAACGTTTCGATCCAAAGGAATAACGCCGAAAAAGCGCTCGATTCGATTAGAAACAGACGACTCTGTCGTCGACAAGTGTCTTGTTTTACATGTGACACTTTTATGGACCTAACTAGATGTGTGCGGATGCGAACACAGAAAATATTTTCGAAGGTGGTTTTCATAAAAAAATATTTAAAAGAGTTACTTTTTTAGAATTGCAGTACAGATCCAAATTTAATTTTTAAATTTTATTACGAAATATTGGTCATGAATACCTTCTCATACATTTAGTACCTACTTATAATTATTTTACTACATAAAAAATTCAGAGAAATGTTAATAGTTATTGTAAACAATAACTTAGGCTCATTCTATCAACAAACTATTTAAAAAGGTGAATGAATTATGAAAACGTAAAAAATGTGCAAATTTCTCATGCATTTTGGGATGTTTTAACCCCCCAAAATCCTCCTCCTCTGTGTTCGCGCCTGGTGTAAGAGATGGTCGTGTGTTTTTATAGCGAATTTCACTACAACGTTTTTTACTTTTTGGGTATGATTCTTTGGTGCTTACCTATACCGAAACTTTTAACATTCACAAAGTTTTTGTTTTCCTCAAGTAGTTGTATAAACTTCAAAAGTCTGTCATCATAATCATAAGGTCGTCAGTCCTAAGACTGGTTGGACATGCACCTCCACTCCTTCCTATCCTGAGCTAATCTTCACATTTCCCTAAAACTAGTACATCCAACGTCCTTAACTATTTTCGAACAGTAATCTAATCTAGGTCTACCTCTATCCCTCCTAACTCCCGTTTCTACCTCTGTCTAGACCTTCATGCCTGAGAAGGTGTCCTACCAACCTATCTCACCTATTTTTTATCGACTTCCATAGAGTCCTATGTTCTCCTATTCTTCCTAATACTCCGTCGTTTTTAGTCTTCTCTATCCACGGTATCATCAACATTCACCTGTAACACCACATTTCGAACGCTTCTAACATTTTCTTTTCCGCCGCGCCCACCGTCCATGTTTCGCACCCATACAGCACCGCGCTCCAAACATACACCTTTAACAATCTTTTTCGAATTTCTAAATTAATGGTTCGCGAGCATAATAGTGACTTCTTTTTATTGAAGGCGACTCGACCCTGCGCTATTTTCTGCTTTATATCCCTACTACTCCTTTAGTCCTGACTTATCTGACTTCCTAGATACTTATCATCAGCAAATCTAAGCATACTAATCTTTTGCCCCTCTATATCTATCTGTAAAGAGAAACCGAATAATGTTTAAGAACATAAGATTATGGAAGGTAAAGACAACATGAACGAAAAGAGAGTTATCGCGACCGTGTCAATCCTGCAGGATCGTTGTTAGATTGTGAGAATGTGGACCTAACAAAAAATTTTTTTTGTTAGTTAAATCAGGCTAGAAACAGATTAACTTAGGTTATTTTTTTTGTAGCATCGATACTATTTGAAAAAATAGTTTCCGCCATCAAAATACAGAATTATTAAACTTTATTACTATTAATGGATTATTTGTGTTTCAAATCAGTTTCGTACTTTGAAATGATTGCCTACATTGCCTTTCTTCGTTTGATTTGTGGTTAAAGTAATGGAATGTAAAAATAATTTTTCGGTTATGAATCACAGCACATAAAATTTGTAATTTCAAGCTACTTTAAATATCTGTGTAGTTCACGAAATGCGGTTTAGTGTTGGATGCATTTCTTCTGACACTCGTGAATCGTTTTGGTCATTTTATGACTTAAAAGTTCATTTTTATTTTTGTGAATCGTGTTGGTCATTTTATGACTTAAAAGTTCATTTTTATTTTTATAACGAATGCATGTATTCACATTTATTGACTTCAGCTCGAAATAAAATTTTTAATGCTCTCATGGTAAAAATCTTTAAAATATAATTGGCAACAAGTTTTACGACGGATTGCTATCTGTTGTGTATCATTTGCTTTAATACTTTACAACGAATTTCGTTTCTCATAAAATCAAATTAACAATAATTTATTAATATATGTTTATGTGGCAATTCATTAATTTATACACTATAAATTCCTTCAAGTTATTGGCGCTAACGCCAAAGGTCCCGAGTTCGATTCCCGGCGAGTGTGTGACAACAGCAAAAAATTTTTCCATATTAACTTGAAGTAATTTATAGTGGGTAAATTGATTAATTTTCACATTAATATATGCGAGGGTCCCTTGAGACCGCAAGTGGACGACGCTGTAACCGGAATACCGAATGCCGCATTTACGAAATCGGGAATGCACCTTCTCGGGCGATCGTCGTCGTAGCACGGGTCCAGCGGGGGTTGCATCCCCGAGAGCATCTTGAGAAAGTTGTCGCTCANTGAGTGTTTAATTGTACGTACAAAAAAGATTAGAATGATGTTTTTCTTAAAAGTATTTAATTTTTGTATGATTTTGTTAGTTAGTTAAATTAATATAATATTCGTTCATGATCGTTATGGACGGTTAATCTTGTAAGTACGTTCAGTTTGCCCTAGTGTAACCCTGACTACGGCCCTGATTTATAATTGTAGGGGAGTTATGATATTTACGAACACCCTGTAAATCATATCTACGATAAGAACCATTATACGCACCGTATACACACCTTTATAGATGAACGTTTTTGTTTCTGTCAGATAGCGCCACTTATATATTAGTTCAAATATTTTATTAAGAATAAAACAAAATATTTATTGAAAAATTAATATTATTTTAATGAAATATAAAACATTACATGTTTGAAATGTGACAAGTAAAGACAACAGGATACACAAAATACACCATTTATTCTCTAATCTAACATGATAAGATCATCATCGTCATCATCAGGTAGATTTAATTTTCTTCGTTTTGATGACGTTCCTTCTTGCGGGTCATCCACCACACCATTATTTTCAATTAATTCAACATCATCATTTGAGTCATCAGTCTCCATTTTATTGTTTGAATCTTTTTCTTTGCCATTTTGGTTTTCTAAAAACGCAACATTTTAATTATTAGAATTACACATATAAGTAAAGTTGCTGTTTTGTCATAATTTCCAATATAAATTGAAAATGCCAGGTAAATTATCATTTATAAAGAACGTAACTTTTATTTTTAATGTATTATTTGTTTTCATAAAAGCTATAACAGGGTAAGGTTCCTGTAATTGATCAGGCACAGGCAGTACAGAGATAAAGAATAGTAAGTCAAAAAAATTAATTATTAATTGTAAATTCTGTATATGATTATTATCATATAACTACTGTTTAATGAGATTATGATTAAAAATAAGAATACCTTCAGCTTTTGCTTTAAGATCATTTGGATCAGCCACAATTTTATAGGGTGGGTCCTCCTTGTTTTCTGCTTTGTACTGGTTTACAATTACTGTTAGTTCATAATTTTGAAGAAAATCGTCAACTTTGAGTACACTTCCGTCCATTATTCCAAGTTCAGAAAGCTTTTTATTGTCATTAGACTGAAAGAAGTGCTTTATTGTATTTTACAAAATCCAACAACACATTCTCTTTCTTACCTCTGTTTCTCCTTCTTCAGATGATATGACCATTACCATTTTACCTTCTAAAAGGGCATCTGGGGCAACCATGTTTAAACTTTTCTTCAAAATTTCTGTTTCAAATTCTTTAACGGTCATTCCATTAACATCAACAAACACATTTACTGATGGTTGTTCAGAACAGACGTAACACTTGGGATTAGCTTTTACAAGGTGATTATCTGGGACCAATATTCCCTTAAATCCTGACGTTTTTTGACGTAAATAAATTGCTTTGCATTGATCATATTCTTCAGCCAATACTCTAAATGCATATAAGACAACAATGCCTGCTATAATAGAATTTGTGTTTAGTTGTTTTAGGATTAAATTTGACATTTGTTGATAATAGTTATGAATGGTTAATCTTGTAGGTATATTATCACTTTAATGCCTCAAATAAAACATTCGTGGACATACACAAACGTTGTCAGCAATTATTTATTAAAAAAACGTTACTTGAAATTTTGGTGGAGGCGCCGGGGCAATTTAAAACAAATGCTTTAATTAAGCTATAATTCAGGTTTCAATGAAGTAAATTGATGAATTTTCATCTTTAAAATATATCTTTTCCGTTTACATGCAGTTAGGGATGCCAATTCGTATTTTCTTATATATAACATATAGAGGACCCAACGTACAGCAAATATTACAATCCTAAAATTGTATCGCAAAGTAAATTAGAAAACGATTTTTTTTCTCTTTTTTACTTTAATCTCAATCTTATTCCCGGAGAAATCACAAAATGTTACGAAAAAATAACTAATTGATTAGGAGTATTTTAGAAACATCATCTTGTACAACTTGGGGTTGGAAACTCTTACAAATTTTTATTAGCAGCTACTAAAAAAGTATTTAGTTACAATTTACGAGTATTTGCTTTGATTTTTTTTGTAAACTATCGTTTTATTGTCAAAAATAAAACGTTTATGAATATACACAAACATTATCAATATTCATTAAAAAGATATTGAAGATTTTGGTGAAGGCGCCGGGACAATTTCATGAAAAAGCTATAATTGATCTATAATTTACGTTTCATTGAAGTAGATTGATAAGTTTTCATCGTTAAATTACATTTTTTGCATGTGGATGCAGTTAGGGATGCTAATTTATATTTTTCTTTGTATAATAAATTAAACTGTAATTTGTAATATAATATACTATACATACATNAGGTGATTATCTGGGACCAATATTCCCTTAAATCCTGACGTTTTTTGACGTAAATAAATTGCTTTGCATTGATCATATTCTTCAGCCAATACTCTAAATGCATATAAGACAACAATGCCTGCTATAATAGAATTTGCTGTCGCTATTGCAGGAATGATATTACCAGCAATTGCTGAAAATAAAAAAATAAACAGTTTATTGTTAATGTTGTAAAATAACAAAAATTATTATTTACATTTAATGTCGAATCGTGATTTCTGAGGAATTGAGAAAATATGTGCCCTTATATTGGCACAAGCAGTCACAAAATCCATAGCATCTTGGTCATCTTTATCCCAAACCAAAAACTTATTTCCCTTAAGTTCAGCTTTTAAATTTGCCACAGTTTCACTAAACACACGAGCACATCTATTAATGGACCACACCTTCATGTCAGTAGCTGTAACATTATCCTCTTCATTTACATCCCCTTCATGAGAAGCAGCTTCAGACCATGACAAAGGCTTGGGTGGCTTTCTACTTTTCCAAAGATTTTCTAACAGATAAGTTTTAACATTTATTGACCATAAATCAAGTCAATATTAAAGAAAAAACACTTACCCATACTTAATAAATAAGTGATATCATCTTGAAAAAATTTGTTAAACAGTTTGGCAGGTTCATAATCACAATCTTGTGCCCACTGACGAGTAGATACTCGTTGAATGTTGCCATCTTCTTGTGCCTGTTTTTCTAGTGCAGCATTGCCTGCATCTGCAGCTGCTTCTGGATCAGCAGTATCAGGTGATACGTCATTTTCTGCATCAGCTTCTCCAAATAATTGACTACAATATCAAACCTAATTATATAATTCATGAAATTTAATTGTTACCTTAATTACTTAAAAAGATGCTTCGCCCAAACAATGCAATGAACAGGCTCAGAGGGTGTATTTCTAATTGTACATCCAGGAAATGTCCTTTGAGGAGGTTTAGGCTGGCATTCATAACACTGAGTTATACCTTTCTTAATAATCTCAACTTGTCCTGAATAACCTGAAGTTCCACTTTCTATTAGTGGTACATCTGCTGCCAAACACATTCTATTAACATGATTTCTTGCTGCTCTGTTATCTAATGCATTCAGTACAACTTTGAATCTCTTGAAAAAGTTGACCCCATATTGTTGCCTTAAATAAATAGTGTTTGCCATTAAGAAATTAAATGAGTCTGTGTTACTCACGTTGTAATACTGTCATGGTAAGCTTTTATTTTCAGTGAAGGATTAAAATTTAATATACTTTCTCGAGCAACTTCGGCTTTCGACTTTCCAACATGTTCTTTTCGAAATAAAAATTGTCTATTTAGGTTGCTTACATCTATCGTGTCTAGGTCAATCTACAATAAATCAGGCGTTAAATTAAGCTTATATTTGTTGACTTAAACCTTGCTTACAATTTCTATATCACTAAAACCTGACAAAGCTAAGTTTTTTAAGATTTCACATCCAATTCCACCGGCGCCTACAACTAAAACTTTAGCAGACGGTATCATTTCTTTCACTTTTGTACTTAAAACACTAGGAACGGTAGACGAACCCATCATAGATTTATTTTTATGATTTAAAGGAAATAATTTTATTTTACGTTATTATTTATTTATTTATATACTTCAAATCAACAAATGTCTTCAAACAGGAAGCCGAATTTAACCTAAAAATTATGACTTATGACTATATTCATGCCTATTCTGTAATTATGATACATTTTGCTCATAGATAAAGAAACTTGCCAGATTGCAAATTTAATATCAGAGATCGGATAATTTTTCATAAAAAAATGTTTGAATATTGATTTTGAATTCTGCAATTTAAGATAGTATAAGCTATTTTCTTTTTAAATTATAGGCCTATATATGATAATATAGTATTTACAGCCGGTTGTGATAATTTTGGCATCACTGCTATGATACGTTTAGAAGTGAAAATGAGCGGGATTTTTAAATAAGCGCCCACGGGAAAGGCCATTTTATAATTATTATAACAGCAATTTTAAAGTTATTTTCTTCACCACTAAGTTGTACTTGTATGTGTTAAAAATGAATAAAACAACTAATTTTGGTGATTTTAAAAACATTTATTCATTTTCAGAATTAACAACAAAAACGGCGGCTGCAAAGAATTTAACTCCCGACTAGTAGACTTCACTGAAATGTAAGTGATAATACAATATAAGTAATAATAGCGACATACTGCATAGTCAGATTAAATTGAGATATTAATAAATATGTTAGTTTCAACTTAACTATATCCTATATCACACAACCAAATTTTTTCTCTAAGCTTACATATCACAAACTTTTGGACTTCATACCATATATTTAATATTGAATTCGAATTTTGCAATTTCACCTTCTTTGTGTCATTAATTTGATTTAAAACCAACATTCATTAAAGTCATTGAATATTTGTGTACAATATATATCTAATAATAAAATAAACCCATTATTTGCAAAAACAAACGTGAGACAAAAGCCAAGTGAAATACATATAAGTATTTTGTTAAAAGAATGCGAAAAATACATTTTTTAAAACTTTTATTACAAGTGCTTCACTTCGGTAATAAGTGTTATAAAGTATTATTCGAAAATATTTGACAATAGACACTCTTTGGTAATTTTTAAAGGCCTTTGGGTCCTTTTTTAAATATTATTAATATAATGTTGAATAAGCTCCAGAAACAAAAAAACAAAAATAGGAAACAAAAACAACACAGGAACTCATAAATACTATTTTTGAAAAATACTAGTTAATTGAAAGAGGGGCCCATATTCAGGCTTTGGCAAGTCTGCAGACGGAGTTATTTATTCTAAGTTTCCCCAGCTGCTGTGACGGAACGAACGAGAGGGCGTAAATCCATCGCTTCAG